TTGTTGACAATGCTTCGTCGCACAACGACGCTTCTATTGAGCTATCCAATGTTGCTATTCGCAAGCTCCCGCCTAATACAATTGCCGTACTGCAGCCCATGGACCAGGGCATCATTAAGTGCCTGAAGAATGAGTACCAGAACAAGAAGCAAACCGCGGAGCTGGACCTGTTCTACAAGGGTGTTCCTTACACGCCGGTCGACTTTTACTCCGCCATGAAGTGGTTGTCTGAAGGCTGGAACAACATATCTGCAAAGACTATTAGAAACTGTTGGTGCCACACAGGCATCGTCTCAAAACTAAACGTAAATTTTGTACTAAATTAGCAAAACTAATATCAGGGCACTGGATTTACGTTTGTTTTTTGCTTTACGTTGTGCACTTATGCCCTGGCACCGTTGATATGGTCCGCCCTGTCGAATTGGAGGTGCACGACTGTACATGTCCTGAAAAATTTACCTAAGTTTAAGCAACCCATCAATGGTTTGCTATAATAATGTCTAAGGTGCATAGCACAAATGCCAGTTTTCAACTGCCTTTTACACCCTACCCTTATATGGTGCATCTACATCTATTCAGATTGTTTACTATTAATATCATGTTGGCCAGAAGTTGTCATCGCTTGAGATAGTTTACCACGATTGGTCGTGGTAAACTATCTCGAACCGGATTTGTTCGAAAACCAAGGCTTTTAGTCTATCCTTCGTTGTTCGTACTCTGGAAGAGTAAATCTGCTAGTAATTCACTTCGCATTTCGCATCGATCCCCACACCCAGCTAAGCATCATGAAATTTGCTCTCTGTCTTGCTCTTATAGCCGTTGCTGTCGCATCGTCGGCCGCTGTCGACGACAAGTGTTCTTTCGGATGTCCCGACGTGTATGAACCTGTTTGTGGCTCCAACGGCGAGACGTACTCCAACTCGTGTTACCTGCGCCTCGAGTCATGACAAAACAACAACGAGATCACCGAGGCAGGCAATCGGGAATGTGCATCAACGCCGACGTCATCGACGACGCCCTCCCCTGTAACAACAAGCACCCACAACGCTCGTAGCGCCATGAATTGCCCGGATGCATGCCTCGACGTGTACGAGCCCGTGCTCGACGAGAACGGTAACGAGTATTCAAACGAGTGCTATATGAAGATCGAAAAATGCAAGGGGACCGACGACGACGCCAGCAAGCGTAGCAATAGCCCTAGTATATCTGCGCTCGATGCTGGACGCAAATTGGCGGTTGCCGCCGGCAACTAGGGCCAAGCACATCTGCCGTAGGGGGGGGGGGGCATGCTACAAAGACTCGCCTGTGGATGGAGAGACGTAGCAACTCTATCTGCAACCGCCACCTCAAAAAAAACGGTGGAATGCACTGGCGCGACACTAGAGCAAAAACAAAAGCAGGTGCGACAGTAAAACAAGATTGATAATACATACCGTGGCCACACACTTGCGTTAACTCCAAAATAAGTAATTTTAATTTGTTTGCTTAGAAACATTCAAAATAACGAGTTGCCAGTCTTGAAAAAAAAACAGCCTGGAATGTCCTAACCACGCAGCAAGTGCGAAACGGAGTTCACGAGCGAAGTAGCTAACACCAGGTGCGTAGCAGTTACACGCTTCAGATAAGACGTATCTAAGCGGGCAAACACGCAAAACATGCTCGTTTTGGTTAGAAACTGAGCTTTCAAATGAGACCGCGTCAAACAAAATGTTACTTATGAACCTAAGTACGAATCGCGATTTAAGCACTCTAAACGAAAGCGGGGCGTCCCTTCTATCTTTTGAGCCCTTATAAGCTGCAGAATGCTTAAAATTGAAGAAGTTGTGGTCGCTCAAAAATATTATCATCATTTATGGGCCCTCGAAATGACGATACATTTAGGAGTGTTGTGAGCTCAATATTTTTTCAATTTTAAAGATTTAAGTGTTATTTAAAAGCTCTTGTTAAAAGCAATTGAATAGGGGTAGTTTTACAGTTTTTTATGGAAGTTTACAATAAATGTCACTGTTTCGGTTAAGTGCAAAAATCAATTGGCCAGCTTTAAGCTCGATTATCTCGATAGCTCTCAAAGGTTCATAAGTAACATTTTGTTTGACGCAGTCTCAAATAAACATGCATACAGAGGGACAAATGTGGTTCATTTGGTTAGGCCATGAAGGCAGGTAGGTACTGTGCTTGAATCAGCATATTAGTACCGACTGGAAGTCCAGCAAAGGGATGGAGGGAGAGTAAAAATTGAACCTTCTTGCGGCCGAACTCCACCGTCGGATACTGCTCAGTAGCTTACCGGACCGGTAATACCGGTATCCATTTGCTGAGAGAATCACTTAAGTACGAAAAACGAAGGGTCAGATGTACAAACAATCAGTTTGTATTACGGGGTCTCATATCAGTGTTCACTCCATATATTTGATACACCCGCTCACACCTCCGTTTTATTTTCGTGTAGAAGCACATCTTACTTCGATGCGATTCCAAGTTTAGCTGCCTTACGAAAGTAATATACTCAATAAATACTCGCAGGCATTGATGTTTTCCTTCTGAGCATGACTACCGAAGATATATCCTGGATGGAAACAGCATTGATGTCCCAATGTTCGTACTAATTTGTTTCACCCTTAAATTTATAGCCCGATCCTAGTGGCAAATAAAAAAGATTAGTAAGTGAAAATAGTCGCTGCTAGCAATACCACCTACGCACCCAGTTGAGGAATAGTTGACTGCAAAAGCAACGTCAGCCAGATCACGAGTTTGCATTGTATTTTCCCCCACGAGCAACTCACAGCGAATGCAAGATGCTGCAAAGGAAACTTGTGGGTCGTTCGATGGACTACAACCACAAGTAACACGCAAGAACCCATTTCCAGCAGTCCATAAACTACAATGTTGCGGACAATTTTCTGGAACGCAGCTTCGTCGATTCCATCAAACAACGGATAGTACTCGCGATTCGGGCCGTAGAAGAGGATTACTAAATAACAACCTGGCGTAGTCGATAAAAAAGTTAGTAAGACAGCAACAGTGGCCAACGTCACTTAAGCGGGACTCACTGTACATCACTGGCGTGAGAACCTCCATAAGCTCATTCAGCAATAAAAATTCCGTCAAAAATAAAATTTGAAGAGCTTTTCGAAGCAGCAGTTGTCTCTCCCGCGGGCTGATATGCTCTATGCGCTCTATATCATTCGTAGTCGGTCCCACACTATTGCATTCTACTGCCATAGACGTGTCTGGTACAACCGCCATATTATGCTCAGCCAGTGTGGGGGCCACCTGGTTCTTGCTAGTCAGCACTCTCTTTAAATTAATAGTATTTGCTTGGATCTTGTCGAGTGTTGATAAACGGAAGACCTCGGATTTTGAATGTGCCGCAGCATCGATCGACGACGTCGCGTTGGCAAGTTCCGAGTATTTCGTCGATATCGTGAACGCACTGGAGATGATTTCATTCGATGTAATTCCCATTTTGGCAGTGATTTCGTTGATACTTTTGAGCATCAGATTCATGTCACAGAGTGAAACCAGTAGTTGCACAAAGTCGATCAGGATGAGCATGGCGCTGGTATTTGTGGACGCAGCTTGTTGCATTGATGTCGAGATAAATAACGCGTTCGAGATTTCGACGGTAAATACGACCAACTCGGGTTTTTGATCGTCTTTGCCACGGAGTATGCGACAGAATAAATTCCGTTCTGTGATCTTAAACGCCGGCAGGAGCAGTACTGTTACCGTTTGCCACTTTTCGGGAACACTGTGAAAAATAGCGTTGAATCCAGTGATTATCAGCCCAGAACTTGTGTGCATGACCGATAAGATGGCAAATCGACGCACTTCTCGCCAGCTCTCAGGGTTTTTGTTCAGGAGATTACCCCTGCAAAGCTTCAGTGATAATGCGAGCGTTGCTAGCCACGGACCAGTCATCCAAAGTAGCGTGAATGGAAGAGGGTATCCGAACATCATAATCAAACCAAGTACAGCCAGATGGCTGATCGCAGTCGCTGCTACTGTCGTAGATAGTAAAGTTCGTCGGGAGAGTTTAAGTTCTGGCACGTACTGGCAAAACATCCAAACTAAGGTGAAGGAATCCGCAAGTCCCACCGACACACCACGCACCCATACAGTCCCACTACCCGCCAAGCCGAGATTTGGAGAATTCATCGGTAGTGCATCAATCATCGCCACGCAAAATAATGGAAGCAACGGAATCGTAATCAGCACCACGAGCGAGCGTGAAATACCAGTCGATACACGGTAGTTGAACATGGAAATGAAGCGCTGTATTGAGTAGCTCCCGTGCAGCTCTACTTGCAGTGACTCCCATTTCCGTACTAGTGTTCGTAAGCCGAAACCAACTCGACCAAACGTGGATGCTGCATCCATCAAGGATGCATCTTGGGCAGTCATGCTCTTACCACGACAGAAGGAAAACGTCAAAGTCTGCGAGTATTTATGGAATTGAGTTACGTGTGCCTAAAAATGAATCATGCCCCGAGGTGTTGGTAGCCTGTTTATTTAAACAATACTTCATTACAAAAAACTACTTCAGTACTTGAAGTCTAATGCTTTTTCGAGTATACTAAACGCTTGCTTTAATACTTCTATTTTACTTCAAAGTAGAAAGGATGGAGCTCCCGTAAAAGCGCGAACCACAATACATCGTTAGCGGCGTTCATACTCGATGGGGGTGTTTTGATACAAAACCGCTACATCCTTACATTCAGGGGTCCTCAAAAATAAATTTACTGAAATTATATATTTTTCCCTAAAGAAATAATTCACTTATGGTCTGGCCACAATTTGAAAATTTATTTTTGGTTTTATGAATTCCTACACGAAATTTATTGTCCGTGTTCGGCAGCCACTGATGTCTGCAAACTTGTGCCGCCGACTCAAACTCACTTTTAAATTCGCACACAGCCCAAACTACCAACTCTCGCAGCTTTTGCCATGTCCGACGCTTCCCTAATGCCTTCCCAGCGCTCGAGGAGCATGTTTCCCCCAAAGCCGTTAATCTAGTCACTCGATCACGTTTTGATGCAGATATTTATTTGCCACAGTCGCAGCACAAATTATTTATTTGCAGATTTCTGATCTACCATGCAGGTATGTTCTCATTAAACAAAGAAATCTATATAAATTATATTTTGAGCAACCCTGCTTAAATTTAAGATTTGGGTATAGACTCTGAGCTCGATGACATTAATCTTCTCAACTGGGTGCATCTTCGGCAAGAAGGCTCATCAGTCTGCGTTTACATGGACGGCAGAGACTATTGACACAAGCGGAGGCATGAGACTGGAAATCTCCAAAAGACTTGGCGTGAATTCTATCACCCAAAACCCAGACCTTTCTGGGCATTAACCCTATAGGGCCGAGCTAGGTTTAGCCATGCTTGATCCTGGATTTAAGGCCGGGTGCTTCGCACACGGATCTTATTATTAATGGGCCTTATTAATAAGTTTTTAATAAGGCCCATTATGTAGGAGGCGGACCTGGGGCCCCTGCCATCTGCATCAACACCACCTCCTACCGCCTACAGTTTCCGTAGCGCCTCCTCTGTTGCTATGCTGAGAGTATAACCTTGGTCCATTTTTTGTCCCAAGTGATGTATCATGTCTAGCCTAAATTTGGGTTTGGTACTTGCTTTAGGAGATTTTTGGAAGTCTTTCATTCTCAACCAGCCATGAGGCCGCATACGTCCAAATCCAGCTTCCTAATTAGCTATTGTTTATCTGGGACGCATGCTTCGGATCCCAAAAAAGACGTAATGTGGCGAAGGCGAAGAGGACGCTAGGGTTTTAAAGCCGACCAATCACAGAGCCTTAGTTTTATAAGGTAAAAAAACATGCGAGTTATAATAGTGGCTCGCACTTTTAATTCTTCAGCGACAGCAGCATGCAGGCAGCTCAGGAGTCAGGAGAATTCTGCGCAGTAATGCTCATGGATTGCCTTGAGACCACATTAGAATCTATTATATGCCAGGTACAGCCACATCATTACGGTAAGCCCACAAAACATTCGATCATCGTCATCTTACTCTCCAGAAGACTGCATTAATAGGAGCTTCTCGCGCACCGTCGGTCCAAGTTGGACTCCAACAACTGGAATTGGTAGAGAATGGGCCTAAACCGCAGGCATGGATTCGTGTGGCGGCTCCTCACTTTTTCGTACTTTATGGGGAAAATCGTCGGCTTACAAATCCCAAGTAACTCCCCTTGTGTCAATAATGATTAGGGACTCCCTATCTTTAGCAAATCCATTTAAAGGCTCTAGTATTAGTATGCCGAATGGAGGTAGCTGGACTAATCCCCGGTTACAAAAATGTTGATGCATTTGTGGTCGTGATATTTATCCAAGTAGCAAATAGTGATATCCTCTAGTTAAGGAGGTTGCAAATTATATTTATTAATAGTGAGACCGAAACCAGGGACTATAGCTATCGAAAGGTCATTAAGTATTAAGTATATCGAAAGTTTTTCGGTGAGCAAGTCCGAATAAGTCCTCCAGCCCCGTTCGTTCCCCTTAATCAATTCAGTGGCTTCGTCTTTGCAACGTTGTGGAATTAGCAGCTTCTCGATGGACTGGGCCGTGTTCGCCAGGTATTTTGTGTGCAAGCGTGGCATCATCATAGCAAGCTCATCGGTGATGTTGTCCTCTTCAGGACTATCATAATATGATATGACTATATTAGAGCGATGGTACCCTTGTATTACAAGGGTTGTATTGGTACAGCTCTGAATAGTGATTCTTTCGGATAGTGATAAAAAATACACTGCTCGATTCTGTACCCGCTGTGCTTTTGCATCGCCCATTTGGTCTTTTTCCATAACAGACCTACAGACCAAAGCACAAGAATCCACACATGCGCTCAGTCGTCGTCCTGCTTGTTGGAGCTGCACTTCTTTCGATCTCGGAAGCAGCGTCACAAGATGTCACGAAGGTAGATTCGTCCAGTATCAACGGGCCCCTACGCCATCATAAACCAAGCGACCACGACGCTACAGACGAAGAGAGGTTGTCGATTACGCGATTGGTATTTGGCCCAAGTAAGAAAATCGAGAAAATGCTGGTCGACAACCCGGCTCAACTAGACAAGTATTCGATAAAAACTGTCACCTCCAAGCTGAAGTACACAAAACACAAGGCGAAAGCGCTCAGTTATCTCAATCAGCGGTCGGACGCCATTCGAAACGCAGACCGACCTACTTGACTGAGCCAAACTGCGTAGTCCAAAGCATGCAGAAGTCAATCAGCACATTGCGAATTCCACTCTTCCAAATCCACATTCGTCGTTCAGTATTGTCATTTGGAACTATGGAGGGCACTTTAACACAGCAAAAACGAAAAGAAATCGAGACTATATGTTTCAAAAGCGTCCCCAATCTCTACAATATGTAGTTCATACCAGAAGATATTGCTTTTGGCCTCAGGCTGTACACGTATTATATTCTGTAGTAGATCCGTTAATGTACGCAGAAGTCCAAACGTGTTTGTTTTCTAGCTTATGTTTCTCAAGAAAAGCTGAAGAATAAACTATTGAAAAACTGCCAATCGCTTCCACTTACATGGGAATAATTGAAGTATTTGAATAACCAAGTAAAACTAACTGACAGATCTCACTTTAATCCAAGATGCTGTTCCAACCCGAGTTATTATGGATAACGATTTCGACGACAACGTGTGGCCTTTTGAAGACGAAGGTGAGCCAGACGACGTACTGACCACGGTGGGCGATGGCTCAATCGAAGTGAGCAAGCTTCTCGCTCACGCTGACAGCGAGGGGCATATTCGTTCGGAGGCCTTGCTGAAACACTGCCAATTGCACCTGGGCTTTTCGTTGAAGGCTTGGGTTTTGCTGCGACTCGTTATGCCCGGATCAAGCTGACAAGCTGATCGCGTTGTGTGAAAAGTCTCCTTTTTGGCCACTTGCGATACAAACAATGTTCGTCGAAGTTGGCAGCTACAACTAAATCTCGCCCACTTCAATAAACCGTTGTGGCACACTGGAATGGAGAATTTAAGGGAGATCCTGGCTGATCGTCAGGGCTACAAGGGCATTCCGCTGAGGTGTGTACTGTACAAGCTGTTAGTGTACAGCGAAGGGGGTCACTTTGTGAAACATCAAGATACTAAGAAAGAGGACGGACATATTTGCAACTTTGGTGGTGCAACCTCCAAGCATTCACGAAGGAGGCAATTTGGTAGTGTATCGAAATGGGGAGGTAAAATACCGTCATAATTTCGGTAAAAGCGGCGGTTCGGCAGCGTATTTTCCTCATTTCGCTGTGCATTATACCGATGCCGAGCATTCTCTAGAGGAAGTGACGAAAGGACATCGACTCGCTCTGATGTACTCTATTTGCTTACCCCGAACAATGCGTCACTTGCAAAAACACGATAATCCTCTAGTCGAAGCTTTGGCTTTTGCTATTATTTTCAAGATGGACGACGAAGAATTTCCTTTTGGGTTGTTCCTTGACCACGAATACACGGAAAAGAGTCTCCGAAAGATGGGCTCGGGGGCTTTAAAGGGAGTTGGCAGCGCGAGAGTTCACGCGCTCGTTGCTGCAAATGGAGTTGTTGCCGCGGACAAGAAGTTGGAGGTTTTCATTGCGCAGTTGCAACATGACATAACGTACATGGATGACGGTGATAGCTTTGAAAAGAAGGATAGCAGCGACTCGATCACTTAGTACACGCTGACGGGAGCCTACTTACAGAATACATATTTATTTTCTGAATCCGGGAAAAGAAACTCTTTCAGAGCTGTGGGACAACGGAGAGGTGACTAAAGAAGGCGGTTACACCGGTAATGAGGGCTCGTCAAAGGTAACTACGTACACGAAGTGCTCGATTGTCGCTTGGTTAAGCGCAAAACACCCCGAAACAGCGGTGAAGTATTTGGCTCTGGAGGCATCGGTAGAAGCTCTCTGCTGTCGTAAACCGGTTACTGGTGACGTACTTTTCCAGTTCATGGAGGATGCTTTCGTCAGGATTGAAGCCGAAAATGACGTTTATTTCGATAGTCCCCCATTCTCGTGTGCATTGTACTAGCAGAAACGGAAGACCCCAAGATTGTGGACTCGTTTATCAGTAAATATTGCGGGGTGCTCGGTGGGTTAAAAAAACAACGAGGCCATGATCCAGCCTATCACAACCAGGCCTCCTAAAATACAATAGGCAGTATACGCAGGCAGCTGTGGCATCAGCAATACATAGTGGCGTATCAAGACAAACAATAATCCGCAATGCCGCAATATTCAGTGTATTTTTGCGAGCAAGAGCTACATCCATCAAACATAACACCGAAACACTCGCCCATCTCCTCGGCGATGGTGTTGCCGACACGTTCAGCGACTCGTTGCATGTAGGTCTTCAGCGTCTCCGCTTCATGCGAACTGTTGCTTACACACGTAGTTGGTAGTTGCCGTCAGTTTTGGATATGAGGTGGCATCACATGGCCACCTCTCCACCACATCCCTCGGCTTATCTTAAGTTGGGTGGACGCTGGCCTCTTTCCTTCAGCCATTGCCCTTATTGACATTTATCCAATCAAATAGACTATTTGATTGCCTTTTAACCTATCATATTGCACAAACCGAGTATACAAACTCAAAAGTATTGCGTCGCAACACTCCCACTAAAGAAGCCAGCGTTGCCATAAACTTTCTTCTTATTGTCCGTCAACTTTCTTCATATTGTCACCAAAGATCCTTCTCGAAGTCGACTTCAACCTTTCTCAGATTTAGCATGCCCAAAATAGCAAAATCAAACTACCGAACTGGGATTTAGTATAACTTTGAATGCTGGGCACATACCCAAGCTTAAATTCGCAACCCAAAATCAGAAGCAATACTTTATTTCATATTAAAAGTAACTTAGCTTATGTATTTGAAGTTTCCGACTTTTGCGAGAGCTGCTCACTCTCTATTTTGCTGCTGTCAAGCGCAGGTCCCGACGTTACCCTTCGATGGGGGTTCACAAGCGTCTCCGTATCCCATCAGGCGACAGTGATCCGGCATAGGCCACAGCGGCCCTCGTGTCCTGGCTTTTTTGCACCTAAACGGATCGCCAATGGCTCATTGGAGGCACTGCGGAGCGAAAGTCCGGTTATCCGGTACCCGTGAATTTCCAGTCTTTGACCATTCGTGCTTTACTTGGTGGTATTTAGAGAGTCAGGATAGAATTAAACTTAAAAAGAGTAAAATATACTCTGGGGTAAGGGGCTGATAGCCCGGACATGTCAGAATTCCTCTTAGAGGGCTAGGTGACGTGTTAAACTAAGGTTTTATGGCTAAAGCCGTACTTTTATTAAACCCTTACACTAAAATGTGCCCTTTATTGTTAACTTTATTTCTGACTTTGCTGCCAATAATTGAAATTCCACTTTGATCTTGTAAACATATCTTTGAAGCCAAATCTTACTTACGTATGGCAATCTTTATTTATGGAACTCTTACTTAAGGTCTTTAACGCCCATCATAAATCGGAGTTTTTCAAACTGATTTTGACGCAAGGGTTTAGTTAAGGCATCCGCTATCATATCATTGGTGCTACAATAAGTAACCCTGATTTGCTTATCTTTATGTTTATCTCGTGCAAAAAGATGTCTAATATCAATGTGCTTAGTAGAAGAGTGACTGCACGGGTCCCGTATTATCACACCAACAATGAGTCGGTAGTAATTGCTCGTAGCCTAATTCTTGCAGTAGTAATCGTAACCACATTGCTTCTCTTACTCCTTCACTAGCGGCGACTAGCTCTGATTCCGCTGTATTAAGACTAATACAATCTTGCTTAATACTCTTCCAGGTAATGCATGCACCAGCGAGAATTGATACATATCCTGTAATTGATTTCCTTTCTTCAGATGCATTCGCGAAGCTCGCGTCTGTGTATAGCTCTAACTTAATAGTACTATTACCATTGTACTCAATGCCATACCTCGACGTTCCTTTCAAGTACTTTAGTACTCGCTGAGCCGCTCTCCAATGAGTCTTATTATAGCAAGATAGATATTTACTAAGCTCTCTGACAGCATTAGCGATATCAGGTCTACACCTTTGCCAGTCCAAATCGGCGACAGTGTAAAGCAAAGCTGTGTGAAGTAACTTAAGTGACAAAGAAATTTTTAATTTTTATTTTCAAAAATTGACTTTAGAGCAATGGCGATTTAGTGCAGAGCTAACTGGTGGTCGGCATCAAAACAAGTTAAAAAAGTCCATCCTGTCTTCGCCCTTTGCTTCTTCCTTCCGAGCACCATCGTACCCGGCACCCCCGCGTTAAAATTCCATTTTATGCTACCTCGGTCGTCGTCGACACGTGCAAAATGCAACTTAGGCCACACACTCGACACGCAGACAGAGCCGTCGCGACTGGGCGATGCTGGACGACTCCATGAGCATTGAGCGGAAGATACGCTCCTCGCTGTAGCCTGCCTTCTCCAGCATCGTGATGCGCTCCAGCGGCTTGAACCAGCGCACGCGTCTCCGCCGATGTCGTCCTGCGGTTTCCTGCCTGTCCCCCGCCTGTGTTTTCTCCCGCTGATGCTGCGCCGCGTTCACTGAAGTCCTCCACACACATTGCGGGGTTCGAGCCAGCCCCACCGCTGGACCACCGCGTCGAGGCACTGCGCTGCCGCCGATGCCCACGCCGAACTCGTAGACGGTGACGGTGGACCAACGTACGCTCTTAATCGCCATGGCTGCTGTGTATGTGGCTGTTGGACTGGGGCGAGGAAGGAATGGAGGAAAGACCCAGAGGGCGTCGGCTGTATGTCGTTCACGCGCCCCTCCCGGGTGGCCACTCACTCGCGCCGCTGCCATGCAAGTACCAGATTTGGTGGATCTGCTCCATCCACTTACAAACACTCAGTGGCTTGCCTTGCGTTGTTTTTCCCAGTCAGCGCTCAGTTCAACATCGTCCGCTTGCCCAGAAAACAGAGCGCCGGATGCAGCTGCTTGAAAACGCTGCAGAGCATAGCTTCCATGTATGGATCTGCGCTTGGTTAACAAGATGGCGCGCCACTGTGCGTTGTCAGTATTCGTAGCAAACCTATGGAGTACGGCACGTAAAGTTTTGCACTACACTAAATCAACTTTGCATGACAGGCTTTTTCTAAAAAAATAAATTTCAAAAATTAAAAAAATTAATTACGGGACGCTCCACTTTGCTTTACACTGTCGCCGATTTGGACTGGCAAAGGTGTAGTTCCCCTAACTAGGTACATTAAGGACCCAACTAACCCTCTGTAGTCGAATGACTGTGCCGCTATTTGCTCGGGTGACAATGTCTTTTCCTTCTCTAAGACCACAGCTTTAGCTTGTGGTGTAGGTGCAGTATTGCAGTCTCTCATCTCAAACTTATCTAAAAGGTCGTTAATATACTTTTGTTGAGATAGGCGTAGAGTCTTATTTGTAAGGTCTCTTTTAATCTCCATTTTAAGCAGGTAGTGCAACTCACCCAAGTCTTTCATAGTAAACTTGTCAGACAGCTTAGCTTTAAGATCATTTATAGAACTTAGATGTGATCCTGCAATTGTCAGGTCGTCCACATACACACACACTATAAGGACGTGCTAACCCCCTTTATCTCCCACCGTTTTAGATACAAGCAATGCTCTTTCTTGCATCTAAAAAAGCCTAAGGTTTTTAAGAAGGTATTCAAAACTTCATACCAAAATCTAGGTGCCTGTTTCAGTCCATACAGGCTCTTCTTTAATTTGCAAACTAGATTTTCAGTTCCTTTGCGAAACCCCATTGGTTGCCTCATGTAGATGTTTTCACTTAAAACTCCGTTTAAAAACGCTGTAGATACATCCATTTGGTGTAGATGCAGCC